TGGAGAAGCGGTAACGGTGGAAAGAGGTATTGGGCCATCAGCCAATGAATGCATCTCCCTGGGAGTGTTTGCCAATGTCAGCTCAGGAGCAGTATTGTTTGCACTTCCAATTCACACGGGGGGTGAAGAGGTCGAGAGTTGGTTTGCCCCATTGTTCGCATAGGCAAAGAAAAACTGGTTGGTCTAACTCCCATTCGTGAGCCTGGGAGTTTGTACGGCTGAGTAGATCAGCCAAGCTGTTGTCGTGGCCGGCAACGTGTAAAACCATAAGGCAGATATGATGGGCTACGCACCACTCTCGGAGGTCGACTGCTAAATACAGGAGACTTGGAGAGTGGGTGCCACCTTGTTTCAGAATATAGTACATCGCCATGGTGTTGTTGGTGGCAATTAGTACCGTCTTGCCAGCGAGGAGATTTGTGAAAGCTTTGCAAGCTTTTATAACTGCCAACAGCTCTAATTCGTTGATGTGAAGCAATTTCTCTCTGGAAGACCACTTGGCGTGGATTTTGAGAGATTTGCAGGGAGCTCCCCAGCCTGTGAGGCTGGTGTCGGTGGTGACTGTATTTGTGGTCATGGTTGTCGGAATGGCTGCCTGATGAACAGGTTGGGAGGAAAATGCCACCACTGAAGTTGGGAGGTGAGTTCTAGGGTGACCCTTAAAAGATTGTGAGGAGGGTCTGTGAGGGGGTCGAAGAGGGCGAGAAACCACGACTGAAGAGATCTCATCTTGAGATGTGCTGCACTACTGAAGTCATAGAGGCCACGGTGCCTAGTACACATTGCACAGTCAAGGTGGGTGCCATAACATGAGGTGTGAAAACTTGAAGTAATGCAATGAGATTTTCTCTCTTGTCTGGAGGAAGAAAGGTGTGAGCTTGTGTGGAATCTATGCATGCGCCTATATAATGAATAATCTTTGTAGGTTTCAAATTTGATTTTTGTTCATTGACAGCGAGACCAAGATCGTGAAGGAGGGTAAGGGTGAAGTGAGTGTCTTGTTGGGCCTTGCGACAGGAATGAGCTACGAGGAGCCAATCGTCGATATATGGAAATATGATATTTTTTTGCAACCTGAGATAAGGAGCTACTGGCGCCATGCACTTGGTGAATACCCTTGGAGCTGTTGCAAGACCAAAAGGAAGCCTTTTGAATTGGTAGGCTTGTGATCCTAGCTGAAATTGAAGGAATTTTCTGTGTGGAGGATGCATGGAAACATGGAAGTATGAGTCTTTGAGATCTATGACAATGAACCAATCATTTTTGCAGAGTAAAGGGAGAACTGATTTAAGGGTAACCATATGGAATTTTGTAGTAATGATGTATTTGTTTAACTCTCATAGGTCTAAGATAGGGCAAAGACCTCAGTCCTTTCTGGGTACGGTGAAATAGCGAGAGAGAAATCCTTTGTTGTGTTGTGAGATGGATTGTATGGCGTCTTTGAGGAGTCAATTTCTTATTTCCTCTTGTAGGGTTGGAGATGATGGAGTGATGATGTGTGTTGCCGGAGGAAGTTGGAAGAAATGAATGCGGTAGCCGTCGTGGATGATGGACAGTACCCAGGCACCTGTAGTAATGGACTCCCAGGCAGGTAGGTGTTTCCAGAGGGCAGGATGGATGGAGCGGTGTGCAATCTCAGTCATGGGAACATCAAACGTGATGTTTGGGCTTGCAGTCGTTGTGCCTAGTAATGTGTTGTTGGCGGGTTTTATTTCTTCGATTTCTGAAATAGGGTGTATAAGATGTTTCTTTTGGAGGATCATATTGGAATTTTTCATATGAGTTGTATGGTCAACTCCATTGATTTTGTTGGGGTCATTGTTGGAAAGATGGATAAATTCCCCAACGTCTAGCTGCTGATCTTTTCTTTTGCACGTTTCTCAAAATATCATCAGTTTCAGCATTAAAGAGGTATGCCCCATCGCATGGAAGGTCTTTGATACGTGCACAGGCATCCTCAGCTAGGCCAGCTGTCCTCAGCTAAGAGAAACATTGTAAGGCTACTGAAATAGCCATTTACTTTGCTATGGCATCTACCGTATGCCTAGCAGAAGGCATCTGTTGTTTGGCAACGGAAAGACCTTCTTGTTGAAAAGTTTGAGCAAGTACTTTTTTTATCTTCTGGTAAAGTTTCGACAAAGGTTGACATATTGTCCCAAAGGAAATGCTGATATGCACCCATGCCTCCCTGGTAGTTAGCGATATGCAGGTTGAATGCTGCTGATGAATAAAGCCATTTTTCCATTGAGTCAGTCCTTCTACTGTCTTTATTTGTTGGTATGAGAGCTTGTCGATGCTGAGATCTGGATTGTGAGGCTTTGACAAAAATAGAGTTTGGAGCTGGTTCTTTTTGAAGAAATAGCTCCAGGATCATGGACACTGTAGAGGTTATTGATTTGTTTAGACATGGTATGGGAAGAGGCTGGTTTTGTCCAGGATCGTTGAGTGGTGCTGAGTAGAGACGGAAGTATCGAGATGTGTACTGGAGTAGTTGTATCTTTAGAGATTGGGTTGTATAGATGATTGGCCGGTTCTGTCGAAGGATGGTGGATCTGGATCATGAGAAGGTATGGCCGAGCTGGATAGAGCAACTGGCTGATTGGTGGTTGCAGTCTGTCCAGTAGAGCACTGGTTGGGGCAAATGGCAATTCGATGAAAGTGCTGAACGTGGGTCTGAGCCACGCATGATGAAATAAACGGCTCGAGGGACTGCTGGGGCTGATGTCTCTGAGATCGCCGTAGTGGACAATCAGATGTTACCAAATAAGGTATGGTCTCTAGTTCTTGTTCGGAGTTGATCCTGTCAGATGAAGCAACTATGGAAGGGTTGCTCAAAAGAACAGAGTGTTGGGGACTGGGAGGAGAAGATGTTAATCGATCGATTCTATCATCCCATTCCGCTGATTGGTAGCAGGGTTGATGACAGGGGATTCCGTTATCGTCAGAAGGAGAACCAATAGAGATTGATTTGGCGGTCTTTTGAAGCTGCTGAGAGATGACTGCAGCTTTAGATTTATTTTGCTTAGGTCTTTTAGACGGAGAAGGGTCCGGAACCAAAGAGGCTTTGGTGGACATTTGACATTTAGTGGAGGGCTTCGATATCAAGCGCTTTGATTTATAGGGTTTTGAAGTTTTAGAGGAAGTGGACGGACTGTCGGCATGGGATGGTGTGGTCGATGGACATTGTTTTGAGGCTTCAGTAAGAGCCTTCTCCATTGCTTTAGTTTTTGAGGTGGCCTTACAAGGAGGTTGGGCCATTTTGGTTGGTTGAAGGGATTGTTCGCAAAGACGGAGTTTTAATCTGGATAGGCGAGAACAGAGGACTCTGCACTTGTTTTTACAATGCTGGCAGGAGGATGTCTGGTGTGCCTCTCCCAAGCAAAAAAGACACTTGGTGTGGCTATCAGAGAGTGGTATTTTGTTATCACAGACCATGCAGTGTTTAAACAGGCCCAAAGGGGCCATGAATAGGAGAAAATAATTTGAGGAGAAAAAAATGATGAATGGGGGGTGCTGCGGCCAGAGGCCGAGCAAAGTAGAAAAGAAAACATCTCTGATGATAATGAATTTGATCTAAACGTTTAAAGGAAAAAAGGTTGATAACAGGAAGGAATGAACTCTCTTTCTCTTTTACTCACAGAAGCAGAACTATGAGGCTCTCAGCATGGTGGTTGAAAGAAACTGAAAGGGGAGCCTTGGCACCAAGGTACTCATATGAGGGAGGAGGGGCCTTATTCTAATGTGTTTTTTGCTACCATAGCAGCTCTAGAATTTTCCGATGAGGCTCCGTACAGGTGTGGATCACCCAGGGTGTGATTCACAGAGGTCACAAAGAATAACTACTTAATCTATTGGGGGCTCCCATGAGTCTATAAAACTGTTTTTTAAAAGGCAGCAAAATAAGAGTAAGAGAACTAGCTGGCCTACTCCTCAGAGGAGAACGGAGGGAAAGGTGAGGATTCCGAGCAACAAGAAAGAAACTGTACCCAGTCCTTTTTCATTTATATAGTGTTGATTTTGCAGGCTTGAGAATAATTGCAGATTACTGGGGTGGAGCTGGAGAACAGAACACAGATGCAGCAGTTAAAAAGCTAATGCTAGATTAATGTAATACAGTATTTATTCATTTCCCTGTTTTTACTAACATTCGATAAACAAAAGCAACATCAAAAACACATTCAAAGCAGTAAGAGAAAGGTATTTTGCCTGCTTGCAGAAGGACAGCAAAGGTGAGGCCAGCCGGGCATCCAGTGGGACAGAGTTCCAAAGTCTGAAGGCCCCCTGCTGTGTCCTCATCAAACACACCTGTTAGGGTGGAGGGACCAAGAGAAAGGCCTCTCCTGGTGATCTTAACACAACGAGGCAGGCTCATAAAGCTGTCTCAAAACACGATACTTGAGACAGCTTGGATCCAAGACATTTATGAATCTATAGGTTACAATCAGCACATTGCATTGTGCCCATAAATGTACTGGAAGCCAATGGAGCTGCTGCAGCAGGAGGGTTATGTGATTCCTGTGACCAGCCCTAGTTAACAATCTGGCAGCTGTGTTTTGGGCCTGCTGAGGTTTCTGAACACCAGTATCATGTCAGAAAAGGGTAAATTAAAGGCACAGATAACAGATGCCTGATGGGTTAAGAAGCAGGATGGGGAGGGGGAAAAAAGTATTCTGATAACTATTGTACAGATTATACTTTTAACAAATACATTTTTTTTTTACAAAGCTCCACAGTCTTGTTGAAACTCCTGCTGCTCCTGTGCAGGTAATTTTGTGTGGCCCACTGCTTTTTAAAACTGTGGCCCATTTTCTATTCACATTTTTACTGTACTGCTCACCCTTCAACATGCCAATAAATGTATTTTCTTCATGCCCTATGTAGCAACCCAAAGAATGTAATTGCTTGAGAAAAGGATTGCATAAAGGAGAAATATGATTGGTTTGAGAACAACAACAACAAAAAAAACAGCCTGAATCCCACTCTTATAATGGAAAACTTACTCTTTCAGTTGCTTTGTTAGCTTCACAACTTGGGATGCCAACGACATACATGTCTCTACGACTACCAAGTAACGTGAGCACATGGTGTGTCCCTGCCGCTCAGCACTTTGGGATGGTTTCTCTCCAGCATTGTTTTGCATAGTGACGTTTGCTCCATATTCCACTAGAGTCTAAAATACATACATTTATATATGTACACATTAACAGCAATATTTACTTTAAGTAGTGCTATTTTCAGAACAGGCAGAACAAAAGCACTTCTTTACAGTTTATCAAGGATGGAGAATTAATGCTTTTTGAGCATGATTACCTCTTAATCTATTACAATTATCTACTGTATTATTTAAACTAAATTATAAATTATTCCCATATAGCATATATTGATCTGAATATTTAAAATTATGTCCATGAAATAAATAAATGAACTGTGCTGTTTTACCTGTATACATCCCAGATACCCATGCTGGGCAGCTACATGGACTGCACTATTTCCATCCTGATCTACTTCATCCAGAGAAATCCCTTGTTCTTGCATAAATTGAAGAAGCCACAGAAGAATTTTCTCCTATAGGGAAAAAGATTTTTTTAAAAAAATAATAGCACAATGACAAAATAGTTGACAGACAATATCAGATACAAAATATCAGATACAGTATCAGATACTAAAAAATAGTTTTGAGCTAAAAAAAAATGTCCAGATACTTCAATCTTAAACTCAGTTACATGGGAGGATGACCTGTGATAAACTTGTGAATAAATATGCAGAAGCTGGTCTGTGTAGGTGTCAATGATTTGCATTAAAATGCTACGTGGATAATGGTGATACAAGTAGGAAGTCCTTAATGACAAAAGTTGTCTGGAACAGCCATTGTTCCTTTCCTTCATAATTGATGAATTAAGTTGTCAGAAAGTTATCACACTACATGAATAAGAAAATGGTTATGACAGATAGGAGGAGCAAAGGATTTCCATAACATAGACTTGAAGTTTCTTTCATAGACTGGATCTCAGATAGAGAAAATCACTCAACTATCATGACAAAACTTATTTTTCAATATCTAATATCAATAAGGGAACACTTAAAAATTAGAAACTAGTGGTGTTTTTCCGGGCCTTTCTCCCATTTTATAGCTATAATGTTATTTAATAATCATGTGCAACCATTTAGTTCTGGTCATATTTAATGTCCTTCAGCTCCTGGGTTCACTGCCCTCTCAAGTTCTCATACATTTTTAGAGATCAGAACAGTCAAACATGGCAAAATCTAGATTCTCAGCTGGAATCTATATGTTAGATATATGCTTCAAGGTACTGGTTCTTCATTATGTGTGATTTCTTACATGTATTCCACATTGCTAGAGGCCATCAATGAAACAATTGGAACAAAGGATATGATATGTGGGCTAAACTGCATGAGCGTGGGGTAAAAAGCAACATTCATGGCAGCAGAGCAATGAAATCGCAATTAAATTGTATGAATCCAACAAAAGGAACAAAGCTAATGCTGGAATTACTGTAGCAGTAAGAGTGAAGCTGTACCTCATCACAAAAATATGTATGAATGCATCCATGAATTTAAGTATTATGGCTACAACATGTTTTGGTAAATGCACCAGTTAAAAACATTCTTTGTTGTTGTTTAATCATTGAGTCATGTCTGACTCTCCATGACCCCATGGACCAGAGCATGCCGGGCCCTCCTGCCTTCCACTGCCTCCTGGAGTTGGGTCAAATTCATGTTGGTCAGTTCGATGACACTGTCCGTCCATCTCGTCCTCTGTCATTCCCTTCTCCTCTTGCCTTCAAACATTCCCAACATCAGGGTCTTTTCCAGGGAGTCTTCTCATGAGATGGCCAAAGTATTGGAGCCTCAGCTTCAGGATCCGTCCTTCCAGTGAGCACTCTGTGTTGATTTCTTTCAGAACTCAACCAGAAAAATGTCCTCCATCAATCAGGCAGCATTTTTCTTTAAAACTAATGCTTACTTGATAATCATATAAGTCTTGATAGATTAATCAAGTAAAGCATTGTTAATGAGTTGAGTTTTCTAATCATTATATGCCACCAATGCCCTGAGAGTTCTGAATTAATCATTTCCACTGATAATAGATTTAAAGAGTTGGGAGCTGACAATAATGCAGCCAAAAAAGGGTCACTGGGGGGGGGAAATACAGGGGATATCTGCATTTCAGAAGGGCTCTGAGTATTTTGGAGGTACAACAAACTGAAATCGAACAAAATACCCTAAGAGAGGATGTCCTCCCACTTTGAAAGTAGACAATGAAGATGGCATGACAACTAGCCAAGGAACATTTAGTTTGTGTTCTAAAGTGCTATGTTGGAAAAATTAATATTGGGGGTGTGAGTAAAACGGAATACAGTGGTGCCTCACATAGCGATGTTAATCTGTAACAGAAAAAACATCGCTAAGTGATTTAATCGCTAAGCGATAGTAAAAAGCCCATAGAAACGTATTAAAACACGTTTAATACGTTCCTATGGGCTAAAAACTTACCTTAAAGTGAAATTCCTCCATATCGGCGGCCATTTTGGGTGCCTCTAAAGTGACGCAAAACAGCGGTGGCCATTTTGTTTTTGCGGTGGCCATTTTGGAACTGCCGATCAGCTGTTTAAAAAAGTTCGCTTTGCCATGATCGCTTGCCCGCGATCATCGCAAAGCGAATTTTAGCCATAGGGACCACCGCTAAGCGATCACTCCAGCGATGGCCAAAAGTCCATCGCAAGGCGATTTCATCGCTCAACGGAGCGATCGTTAAGCGAGGCACCACTGTATAATGGAGGACAGCATGGCTAGTTGATCGAAGCCCTAAACAAGAACTCATCTCTTAGGACGGGAGGGTATACTGCAACACTTTGCTGTAGATATTCCATCCTGCATATTAATAGTACTTATATTCCAATTGCCACAACTATTGCCTAAAAATGTGTTTGGGATTCTGCTTATTTGACATAAATTAACGAACAATAAATAAGGCTCAATTTTTCCTGTTAAATGGATTCATGTTCTTGGAGATGTTCTTCATCCACATCTCTTCCTAATCTCATTACCTGGCAGCGGTTCAGTCAGGTATGTTATCCTTTGCTTTTCTGGTTCAACAATATTCCTGAAGACACTCTTGGAACTGAGGCAGAGCAACATTTTCTCAAACATCCTGTATAAGCAGTGCTGGGCAACACTGACATCAATGACTTTATTCTTTGCTCCCCTCCTTTTTGCCTTCCCTATCATAGAAAGTATTTACTCAAAAAACAGATCCCGTGTGTGTCAAGTGCTAGAGGAAATAATTGTGTGTTGGATCCATTGGAAAAATCTTTCTTCCTTATAAAAATATTTCCCTTGCATTGCAGCCAAATCTGATGTTTACACGGGTTGTCGTTTGCATAAGTTAAAAAGTGTCTTGCAAATGCATATGTGCTAGAATTACTGTACTCAATACTGTATTTATTTGTCCAGCCCGCAACAGTTGAAAGCATGTTGGATAAAACTCTGTTCATCTCAATAAGTTACCAAATCTTTCATTAGTAATTGTCACATTTTTAAATTGGATACATATAAGTAGGAAAGGTAGGGAAACCAGCTGGTAGGGGTAACTTGAATCCATTATTTTGTGTAACATCAAAACAATAGTTCAAAATGTAATTATACCTGCCCATAGCAACCTGCATAGTGAATAAGACTTGGGTGATCCTTTGAGCAACTGAGTTCTGCAATGGCTTCTGTCTCGCTCACCATCCACCTCACACACTCCAGTTGTCCATTCTAAGTAGGAGAAAAGAAAGAGGCAAGCTTTTTATCCACAGCTGCAGTTTATTTAAAATAAACCCGGTCCCTTTTTAAAATGTCTGAATATGGCCAATACAATGTCTTAACTTTATAAGTACACTTTCATGAATGTCTGTTTATTCCAATGAGAACCTTATTCAAAAATGTTAATTTCTCATCCAAAGGGGAGGGGGGAAAAGAAACGATAAAAAAGAAGAAAAGATAAAAAAGACTATTTTATCTAATAAAATCCAGCTGGAGGAAGGGGATAAGAGGTATCAGATGACAGCATGAATTTTCTAGGTAGAATGCATTGCAGGATGTGCATACACTGACACATAAACTTCCTTGCACTGCATGTACTCCCTCCCCATCCCCTCCCATCCCCATCTTAGTGACAGCAATGAACTATTTAAACTTGCTCTCTTTATCTGATGAAATGGAATAATCTAAACAAATGAGAATAAAGCCTCTCTAATATATTCATACTACTCCCTCCCAACCTCTGGAATGGTACAGCTGGGCAGGAGAATAAAGCTACAGTGTTATTGGCAACATCAGGATTGGTGAGGTTGAGCAGTTATGGTCTCTCCTATATCTCAGTGATTAATCTTTCTGCATTAATTTCAAATAACCCGAAATATAGTGCCATTTTAAATCAACAGACTGAAAGGTCTCACTTTTGAGTCAGTATACCTGATTCAGTAGGATTTACTCCCAGGTAACAATGTACATGGTTACAGAATTAGGATATTGTCCTATGAATACTTACTCTGGAGTAAATTCCATTAAATTCAATGATCATTACTTCTGAATAGACATATTTAAATTCTGCCATCTTAATGTGTTACAATTAGAGATGGGCACGAATCATTAAAAATTGTAGCTAATTACAAATTTATGATTTTTTCTGATGAATCAACAATCAATTTATCATTTTTTTAAAAAAACTTTAAAACCCTATAAAATGGCTCCACAAACACCTAGAGAAACCAAATTCAAAGGGAAGCTTCTCCTGACTCTCCTCTGCAATCCCATCCATGTTTGGTGAAGACTGGGTTTCAGACATGCAAGGTATATAAAATGGGTCTTCTCAGGAAAGTGCCCTTTAGCAGCTGGTTTGGGGAAACTCGGTCTTCACCAAACTTGGAGAGATTGTAGAAGAGAATCAGCAGAAGCTTCTCTATTATTATAGTGTCTCTACATGTCTGGGGGTAACTTTTATGGGATGAGCCTCTTTGTGGGTGCATAATTCAGACATTTGAAACCCTGGGGGATTTTAGAGGGGAGTCAGAGGAAGCTTCCTTGCAATTGTTGTGTCTCGAGGTGCCTTGGGGGCCATTTTATAGCAAAACAAATCAATGAATAAAAAATCACCAAAAATTCATTGATTTGTAGTTTATTGGGGCATTGATTCATACAAATACAAATTGACAAACTGGTGATTTTTGAATGAATTTGGTGATTCATTTTTTAATTCATGCACATCTCTAATTATAATCTTCAGGTCATTGATTTCAGTCCAATGATTTGAAAATAAAAAGCAGCTTTGCCATACACTTCAAAATGTGGATTATTCAATGGAAATGACATCAAAACTAGTGTAAATCCTGTACTCCATGTTTCACCATTCTTCATTAGCACTGGGTGGAGCATAAGCAAATCGAAGGTCTACTTGTTTTTTAAGCAAACTGCATAGCTCAGCTGCCAACATAGTTGCAGTTTGATGGGAAATTGCCATGCCTCCTAGCCTGAGAATAGATTACCTGGGTTTATGGCTTCTTATTTCAATAACATTAGCACGTACTACAGTTGTTGAACTCTGTAACTTCCTGATATAAGGTCTGCTGATGGAAGAAACCCCTCCCCCACATTTTTGACCCAATAGTCCAAAAAGGTGACTTTCCTGCCTCTGTCATTAACATAGGCCATAAATCTGTGTACTCAGCTGCATTAATTCACTAATTAATCCCCAAGAGTACTTCTTGCAGTGCCTTTTTAGCTTTTGGAAGGTGTGATAATCAATATACTGTATGCCCTGATCAGATCTAAACAAGCTTCTAAATGTTTCCAAAATGGGATCTAAAGCACAAGGAACCTGCAATTTTTTAAATTGGACTTCTGCACCGCATGTTTCTTGCTTCTGCAGAAGTAGTCTCAGCATTTTGCTTTATTTGCAGAACATCCCAAGAGAAGTTTAACACCATATCTGTCCTTCCTGTGCACACTGCTGTATTTAACAAGTGATCAGCAGTGCTGTAAAATGTAATGTTTTCTTATATTACAGATTTTCCTATAAGTCTGAACTTTCTTCCAGATGACATTAATTATTATTTCAGTGCAATTTTATGTGTGTCTATTCAGAAATACATCCCTGTGAGCTACTCCCGCTCCTGGGTCAGTATTATGGGTCTGCAGCATGTGTTTCTGACAGGTTTCTTACTGTGTCTGCAAGAGGTAAATGTTTGCTTTCATGTGATATTCCACAGTGGTCTTGATAGCTAAGACATTTCAAATTTAAACCATTCTGTTTTGAGAAGCTGTCTAATATGGAAAACCAAAACACTCACTTTCTAGTTGGAGATTTCAACAGCCAAAGCAACATTCGGGGCTACGAACAAGATGATGAAAATGGCAAAGCCATTATAAAATAGGAAGAATACCACTCAATCTGCCTTATACATGGTCCTAAACTACCCAATTCATTCAACAGTGGCAGATGGCAGGAAGGCTACAATCCACATCTCGCTTTTTTTGTTAGTGAGTCTAACAAAAAACGGACCACACGTTTTCTGAATAGTTTTTATCCCAGAGATATAATTGCACTTAATAATGAGCTTAAAGACCACCAGTAGTGAATAGTTAGTTGGACTGTGTTACTTGGCCTGCGGTGTAGATGTTTGTATTTTTAGTGGGGACTTTTAGTGGGTGGGGAGTGTTGGGGGATTTTTTAGTGGGTGGGGAGTATTTGGGGAATTTTATGTCTGTGCATGTGTCTGGTCTCTGGGTGTCTGTGAATTTCATTGTATGGGTATACTGTGTATATGCTTACAATGACAATAAATAAATAAATAAAATAAATAAAAATACAGCTCAACAGTTCATGAGTATAGACGATCCAATCCAAAATACTTTAGCACAGACACATTCTATGTCAGATCTACTCAGCCATCTGACCTCAATCTATACCATTCTGTAGGAGGTATAATTTCAAAATAGCCAAATAGGAATGGTTTACAACAATGCTAGATGCAGCTGTGCTTCAGACTGCTCATCAACCAGAGAAATATGATCAATCTGTAACTTCTGTTTTGGTATGTTCTTGAACCTTCCATTCCAAGAGGGTGCCAGACCAACTACATCCCAGGTCTCACTCTGGAGACATACACCCAATACAGTACTTAGGCTATATTTCAAAGAATGTTTTAGTGAACATACAGTAAAATCTGGGAGAAATTTGATGACTCTTGCCGAAACAAAAAGAACTTGCTGGATAGACTCTATAACAAGAGCTTGACATGGCAAGAAGTATCCAGAAAGCTTGGACTGAAAAGACTGAACAACAATCGAAACAAAAAGACACTGTATGCAAATATAACCCTCCAGTCAAATAACACACCAGCTGTTCCTGGCAGGGAAGACCAACCAACGCATAGTATAAATAAAACATCAAGGGTATATTCAGAGTGAATCCAATGAACTTTCAACTGCTTTCATATTTGCTGAGCTAGAGGGAGCCATAAGATGATGTAGGAATGGCAAAGCAGTGGGATTTGATATTTGAATCAAGCAAATTAAATATTTTGGGTAAAGCACAAAGTAATGGCTCCTTCATCACTTCTGTAACTCCTGGGCGAGCAAACAAATTCAAAAAATATCGTGGAAGATTGAAGTAATCACTATATTGAAACTAGGCAAACAACCTTCAGCTCCCCAAAGCTACAAGTCAATCTCCCTACTATGCCACATGTTTTGAAACACATAAAATCACTAAAGTAGTATTTGCTGATCTTACCATGGAATATGATACTGTCCACCTTAAACTGCTGTTCGAAAAGCGCTATCAACTTACTAAAGATCATGAACTAACAAAATTGGCTGCCATCCTACTTCAAAGCCAAAGATTCTTTGTTGAATTTTAAGAGAGGCACAATTACTGGAGAAATCAAAGGAATGATCTCCCACAGGGTAGCATCCTGGCACCATTATTTTTTAACATCTATACAAATGATTGAACAATATTCCCATACTTCAGGAGTTTTATCTATGCTGATGATCTTGCCTTCACAGTTGAGGGAGAAACTATTGAGGCCTACTAACATCTTCATTAGAAGATCTTTCTTTTATATATATAAGAAACCAAAGCCTTTAGAAAGAAAGGTCTGTATCTTCTACTTAAAGAACAGAGAAGAAGAGAGAAAACTCTGAGTTAGCTGGAAGGCAAGAATGCTAATCCAAACTATCTGGGCATCACTCTGGATTGAACCTGACCTTCAAAAAACACTAATCACCAGACAGTTTCCTGGGCATCACTCTGGATTGAACCCTGACCTTCAAAAAACACTATCTAAACACCAGACAGTTTCTGCCAGAAATTACATGCTTAGGAAACGAGCTAAGCCAGGCTGGGGTGCACACCTATAAACAATAAGAACAGCTTTGTCTCTATGCAGAATATGCTAGTGACATATGATATAAATTAGCACATGCCAAACAAGTGACTATAGCTCTTAAGGAATCATGCAGAATTATTACTGGCTGCCTGTAACCTTACTTCAATTGTCTGGCATTGCTCCTTCAGAAGCAGGGCAAGAGGTGTTAGCAATTAATGAACAAAATAGGGTGATAAAGTACCATACCCATTCAGTTCTTGGGCACTAACCCCGTTTATGATTGCTAAAAATGAGGAAAAAATTTTCTGCACACATTTCAAGCTCTAAATATTAAACAAGAAGAAGCTATGCTAAACCTCTGGAGAACAAAAACAACACACCTTGCTGAATGGATGAATCCTGAAGAATGTCTCCCAGCAGGACAAAAATCTAGCTAGTCTATCTTTAAGTCACTTTAAGTCACAGACTTCTAAGCAAAGTAGGAAGCTCAAAGAATATCAAGCAGAAAGGGGCTACTTAAATACGGGACAAATTTTCTGTAACTATAGAGAAATTCAATCAATGCAGCACTTATGCAGATGCAATTTATGCCCCACCATGTGTACAAAAGAAGATTTAACAAATGGCTGAGATAACACCATTGGAATAGCCAACTTCTGGTAAAAAAAAAGTGCCTCATTTTCTTAACATTTTAATTTGCTTTAATTTTATCTATATTTCATATACATCCATAATTTTAAATTGTGCAACACGCTGATATGAATAAAGAGATTAATAAAGAAAGAAAATATATTTCAAATTTGAATGCCAACTGTTAAATAGAGACTGTGTAAGAAACATCTAAGAGTATCAAAACCTGTCACATACATATATATATTTATCTCCTGCATCTTCTTATATATACTCATATTACAGCATTGAATTAAACACTGGAACTGATTTTGAAAGTAGAGGTTTCGAAAGACTGAGTCTGTCAAGACACCCTTGCTTTTAGAGTCATAGTGAAATTTTCCTAGTGAGTGGATTATTGTTAAAGGTGAATCACAAGTCAGTATTAGCATATGAGACTGATTTGCTCTGACTGCAGTTATTCTTTTTATTTACCTCGGTGAAATATCACCTGAAGATTCTGCACTCTCATGCTACACCAGCAGTGAAAAACATTGGGCTGGTGAGGCTGCAAGGACTCCAGATTCATCATCTACCTTTCTGGCAAAACCAAGGCCATCAGAAAGATGATATGAACTATGGAGATTACATTTCTGGTAACATAAGCAAAAATAGAATAAAAATATTCCTAAAACATATAGTTGACGTAAAAAATGATGATGTCTTGGAGATCTTTGGTATGTATGGTGGACAGAGTAACTTTTTTTAAAAATAAGGGATTGCATATTTACTTTCAGAAGCCACTGCTGCTCTGAGGATTGCATGACATCAATATTTGTAAAATTATCCAAAGACCAGAATTAAACCTGAGCCAGTAAAGTTAAGGCATGAGGCAGTGCCATGGAACAAAGGTAATCTAATTGGGGGCATCTATTAAGCAATTATGGTTTCAAAAGTATTTCACTTGCAACTTTGCTTACACAAGAATTAAAAACGCTCTCTTTTTTTTGGAGCCATTTGCTTGCATTACTTAGGGCCTGATTACATGTCCACTGAAAACTTAGCTTTGGAATGCATATTTTTGCTATCTAAAAAGCTGTTCAAGGAGAGTACAATTTCAAAGGAGAAGGAACAGGTTGTAAAGGGCTATTTAATCTTTCCTGTGGTCATTCTGTGTCATCTGAATAATCCTCCTCATCTGCTTTCTTTCAAAAAAATGCATGGAACATCTGTGGCACAGGAATGTAAGAAAAAAGGGATGGGTGGGAAAGGCTTTTTGTGACTCCACCCTATGCTACTTATGAAATGTATTGCAAGAGAGATGGATTCTTAGACCACTGTGTGTTTTCTAATGCCTTGTTCAGCCTTAGATGCCACAGAACATCATCCAGAAAGAATTAGGAAAAGGCAGTGTGGTCTTTAAGATTACACAAATGTAAGAGTAGGGTTATACATTTATTAGACCATTAAGTATCAAGCATATCACAAGCTTTTGTGGAGAAAATTCCACAATTGCTCAATAGATGCCTCCAAATTACACTTCATCTGCCTGGGCACCCCACCCCCATGGATAATGCAATAAGAATGTAGGGTAGGGGCAAGGGTCCCCAAAAATCATGGCAGATGTCTGTGTCAGTTCTGCCGGTATGAGGCAAGTTCAGACTTAGGTTGTACAGTCATGGCCAAAAATATTGGCACCCTTGCAATTCTGTCAGAAAATGCAACCCTTTTCTCAGAAAATTGTTACAGTTGCAAATGTTTTGGTACTCACATGTTCATTTCTTTGGTTTGCGTTAGAACAGCACAAAAAAAACAGAGAAGAAAAGTCAAATCTGATACAATCCCACACAGAAACCCAAAAATTGGATGGCTAAAATTATCGGCAACCTGCTGATACAATATCACACAGAAACCCAAAAATAGGATGGCTAAAATTATCGGCAACCTGTCTAAGTTATAAGAAACAATTGCTTTTCAAGCATGTGATGCTCCCTCAATTTGTATTTAGACACACCTGTTGCAAGTAAGATGTGTGGGTAATATAGTAATCATACCTGCAAGCAGTTAAGATGGAGAAAAGTTGACTCAACGATTGTGCTGTGTGTGGCACTGAGCATGGAGAAAAGAATGAAGTGTAGAGTTGTCTGTGGATTTCACAGAAAAAAATGCGGAAAAACATTGACAATCTCAAGGCTACAAATCCATCTCCAGAGATCTTAATGTTCCTGTGTCCACTGTGCACAATATCATCAATATCATCAACCTCCCTGGACGTGGACGGAAGAGCAAAATTATTGAGCAATTACAACAAAGGGTTGTTCGAATGGTGGATACAGAACCCAGATTAATTTCCAAACAAATTCAAGCTGATCTGCAGACATAGGGTACAATAGTGTCAGCTCGCGCTATCCATCACCATCTGAATGAAAAGGGACACTATGGTAGGAGACACAGGAGGACATCACTGCTGACACAAAGGCATAAAGCAAGACTGGAGTATGCCATAATTTATGTGACAAAACCACAATCCTTCTGGGAGAACATAGTGTGGACAGATGAGACAAAAGTAGGGCTTTTTGGTAAAGGACATCATGGCACTGTTTACAGAAAAAGAAATGAGGCATTGAAAGAAAAGAACACAGTCCCTACAGTCAAACATGGTGGAGGTTCAAAGATGTTTTGGGGTTGCTTTGCTGCTTCTGCCACTGGATGCTTTGATTGTGTGACTCGTATCATAACATCTGATGATTACCAAGGAATTTTGGGGTGCAACGTCAGTGTCAGAAAGCTGCATCTCCACCGGAGGTCATCAGTCTTCCAGCAGGACAATGACCCGAAACAGACTTCAAAAAGCACTCACAAATGGTTACAAACAAAGCTCTGGAGAGTTCTGAAATGGCCAGCAATGAGTCCAGATCTGAATCCTATAGAACACCGGTGGAGAGATCTCAAAACAGCAGTTGGGAGGAGGCATCCTTCAAATCTGAAGGCCCTGGAGCAGTTTGCAAAAGAATGGTCCAAAATTCCAGTAGAGAGAGATGTAAGAAATTCATTCATGGTTACAGGAAGCGATTGATTTCAGTTCTTTTTTCCAATGGGGGTGCTACCAAATATTAAGTTAAAGGGTGCCAATAATTTGGGCCAGTGCATTTTTGGGTTTCTGTGTGGGATTGTATCAGATTTGACTTTTCTTCTCTGTTTTTTTGTGTGTTGTTCCAATGCAAACCAAAGAAATAAACATGTGAGTACCAAAACATTTGCAACTGCAACAGTTTTCTCAGAGAAGGGTTGCATTTTCTGACAGAATTGCAAGGGTGCCAATATTTTCAGCCATGACTGTAGATGTCATCTGGGGGCTGAGGGTGGTCTCAAGCACCATCCCTTGTAGCATGGTTGGAATTTTCCATTCCTAACCTCAGACAAAGGGGTTGCTAACTATAGATCTTCATATTACCTTTATCGCTAAGCCAGCAGGAGTTAGCCGTTCACTGTTCCGCTCATTCAAGCAGTCCTCACCCATCAGAGATGTGAGATGCTGTAGGCATTCTGCATGTCCATGTGATGCTGCAACATGCAAAAGATTGTTGCCATTTTCATCATGAATTTTGTCCAGATTGTCTGCTGCAAGGTGAGGCTGTGCAAAAGAGATGTGGGAAGGGTTACTTGATTAATTCAGGACAAATCCATTTAGCAGCTGCCAATTTTCATGGGTTGGCAAACAAATCATTTTTTTATTATATTATGGTCTGCTTTCAGCATAGCTGGGGAACTGCAGTAATGTCCATTCTAGGAATGTTACATGTATAGTCTTTTGTTTGCTAGTGAGTAGCGGTAAAAAAATCTTAATATTGCAACCAATACAACTGATGATAAACAAACTGAACCACTGTCATTTTTCTCTGGTCCAAGATAGCTCAGGAAGAACCTATATAATCCACCATAAGACACAAAACTACCTCAATGCTGCAATGTCATGTTGTTTTATGTCTTCTATCTTCAGACTAATTCCGAAGATATAAGATATAAAACCATGTGACAGGATTTTAAGGGTCTCTAATAATTGTGCATTATTCCAATTCCAATCCCAGTTTTGCTGATAACCTATTTTACTATATGTATCTTCTTGCTGTATTTCAAGCATTGATGATTAACTGCTCTATTTATGTATTCTTTCTTTGCAGCAGGCAATACTGGAGTTGTCTGGTTGCATGTGATACTGTTCCATTACAACCCCATTATGAATCCAATTTTAAAAAAATAACCAGTGTAGCCTTTGATCACATATTCTCCTCTGTCAGGAGACAAAATTGGTAACAAGAGATTGCTTCTTCTCTAGATCCTTGCCCATCATGGCTTTTAAAATCAGGAAAATCAATGATCTGTAGCATTGCTACAGGAGGGTTTTCTACCTTTCCACCTAAAAGGAAAGCATTATAAGGCCCATTGCAAATAATCCTACAGTACTTTAGCTACGGATGATCTTAACAACTACAGACCTGTTGCCAACCTTCCCTTCCTGGGTAAGTTGATTGAGAGGGCGGTGGCTGATCAGCTGCAGGCATTCTTGGAGGAAATGAATCGCTTACATCAATTTCAACTGGGGTTCAGGCTGTGCCATGGGACTGAAATGGCACTGGTCACTCTGCAAGATGATCTCCTGAGGGAGGCAGACAGGGGGAGTGCAAACCCACGGGCCCTCCTGGATTTTTTTTGCAGCCTTTGATACCATTGTCCACAGAATCCTTCTGGGACTGCTAACGAGTTTGGAACTTGGAGGCTCCATTTTTCTGTGGTTTCAGTCCTTCCTTAAGGGCTGATCCCAGGTAGTTCAACTTGAGGTGGCACCCTCATTCCCCTTGGAACCTCTGTTACAGGCTCCTGCAGAAATCATCAGTTTCCTCAATGCTTTTTAAATATTTATATGAAGTTGTTTGAAGAAGTCACATAGAAATTCGGAATTTATTGTCATCCATACATGGATGACACACAGCTCTACCTCTCCTTTTCATCTGCAGCTGATGCTGTGTAGGTTCAGGACTGTCTGATGTTAATAATGGACAGGAAAAGGGCTAGTAAACTGAATCCTGGTAAGACAGAGATCCTACTGTTGGGAGGATCATTAGACCATTTAAAGGGATATTTACCTGCCCTCATTGGGGTTTCGCTCCCCCTGAAGGATCAGGCTTGCAGCTTGGAGGTACTCTTGGACCCAGCTCTTTCTATAGAGGCACATATAACTGCTGTGGCCAAGAGCGCCTTTTATCAACTTCTGTTGATTGCCCACTGCACCCCTATCTGGATAAGAAATATCTAACAAAAGGAGTTCATGTTTTGGTAATCTCTAAAATAGACTATTGTAATGCTCTTTGTGTAGGGCTGCCCTTGAAACAGTATATAAACATAAGTCCAAAATGCAATGGCCAGGACTGATTACAGGTACTTGGAGATACGAATATATATGCCATCACCAACTCCCTATTAGTTTCTGTGCTCAATTCAAGGTGATGTCATAACTATAAAGCCCTTACTGGTTTATGACTTCGATATTTAGTAGAACGCCTCTCCCACAAAATAGCTATCAATCCCACCCATTCCTTGCAGTTCTTGATGTTGATTTTAACACCTTGGGAGCCTAGAAAAGCCAACATTAGGAATCAAGCTATCTCTACCTGACCCCTTCCCTGTGGAATGAGCTTACAATCAAGCTTCACAAGCTGCCATCCCTCTCAGTTTTTAGGAAGCTAATTAAATCTGTGGTCACACCAGCAAAATGTTTCTGAGTTACTCCTTGTGAATTTTGCTCCCCCCTTTTTTAAAGGTTCAGACAACACAGGGCTATTATCGAATCTCTCCCCCCACCCATGCTATCTCCACATCAAATCCAGCCCACTGGGAAGCTACTACTATATTTTTTCCACATTTCACCACACATTACAACTGACATCCCACTGAGTGTGTACTCAAAAACCAATTAATTTCCTTTGCATATGGCATGCGGTCTCACCTCCCTCACCTGGTATCAACTCCCTTAAATTTTTAAAATTAATTTTCAAATAGGAATATTGGTGCATTGGTATACTTTTATCAAAATGGAGCATCAGTTCCCCTACTGTCTTTTGACCACCACTGCAGTGCGCTGTGGGTTCTCCTCCATAGAGGGTAACAAAGCATAGAAATAGGAAGAAATGGCTCAGATCAGTATGTTGCCAGCAAGGGTATTTTGCTGACTCATCAATGTAGCTACACATTTTTTATGGGGGGCTGAGAAAGGCACAAGAAAAGGAAGGGGATCTGTCCTGCTTGAGGGGTGTAGATGACCGTACCACATCTAATTCACCCTCAAAAAGCAGAACGGTTAAAAAAACATATGAACCACTATCACAATATATATGCTCCATGACCACAACACACGACTATACAGAAAGCAGAAAACATGAGAAAGAATGGGGGACATTTGTCTTGTGTGACCACAGCCTCAGTCAAAATTATAGAAAGCTGCCTTCTACTAGTGGTGAATACAGTATTCACCTGAGATGCTCAAATGGCTTTTCATTTTTGTATTTCTGTTTAAACATAGGCTCATTATTTTACCTAATAGGGTTTTTTGGGTACTTTATTGTATATTTTTATAGTATCTGTTACACATTGTTTTTATTCCATGGTTTTATTGTAGGTTGTGAACTGTGATGATAACACTAATAGGGCAGTACAGAAGTAAAATCAATAAATAAACAAACAAAATACAGCCAGTATCTTTGAGGGGATTAGCGAAGTGATGCTTTGCATGGTCTAATATTTTTAACAGTATAATCCTTCCTAGTGTCTACATTAAAAAAACAATATACAGTATTAAGCTAATGTGAAGCTAATGCTTTTCTCAAAAAAGAAATTCAACTTGACTGTGCCATAGAAAAGGTTCAGATGTTGATTTATGAAGTAAAACCAATTCAAAAAGAAAATTCTAGGGCAAAGAAAGTACAAATATTTAGTGAGATCTGTCAGTTGCTGCTATCTTGTGAGCATAATTGAATAATTAGAACTAATGATTAGAGCATAAGACACTAATAGTCTATGTCCATCTGTACCATCTATAACATTTCATACAAAGGAAAGATAATAATTGAAATGCTCTGGTGAGCTGAAAAACTGAATTTTCATCCAGACTGCTGAAGCATTAGGTCTGAAAATTAATGCTATCTTTTAAAAAACAAGCAAGCAAACCCAGAATATTGCCATGAATGAATATTGATCTCCTCCAGTATGACAGTCCCCATGTTCCCAAGAGAATTTCTGTAGAACAATGAAAGGTTACGTAGCATAACCTTTGTCTTCTGAGTGCCAACCTATCAGATACATGAAAAAAAATATGAAAGAAAGCTATATGGCTGTACATCTATTGTTTACTATTATTTTCTACTAGTTTTATGGGTTTTTTCCTATGTAGCTTTCACTAGTTTTCTCTATCAGTTCTAGTACTGATGTATCCTTCGATTGCTGAATAACACAGTGTATTTTTAAAAAACACGCTAAAAGCAACAACAACCTCAAGGTCATATTCCATGAAGCAGAATGTACAAATGTAAGCTTGCCCGCAGAGTGAGAAATATTATAAAGCATTAAACACCTAGAGTGTAATCCCACTGGATTAAGCAAAGCATTGCATCTATATGTCACACCTAATAATGTTGTCATTGCTGCTGTTAAAAAGGTAAGCAATTTTTAAAACCCCATTTGCCACCCCAAAAATAAAGGGGGAAACTTGTTAGTTTTTGTTATACCTTACTGTTTTTATCATCACAGTGCAATGAAATACTAGAGTCTACTAAAAAAAAGAGATGATTTTGTATTTATTGCTCAATTTTATGATCTGTCAATGTTCTGGCCTTGATTAAATTGCTTGGTAGAAAGAAGCAAGCACAAGGTGAAGACTGCATGCATATAATGCCTGTTTTATCTACACCAATCTGGCTGGTTTGTATCTAGTTGCTCTGGAAACTCCTTTTCATGAGGTCTGACCACAAAGCTGGAGCTAACTAAAAGCTTTGTGTGGGTCAGAGGCCAACTGGGGCTTCTGTGTGAACTCTTGTTCATGAAAGCTGTAGCAATAAGCTGGGGTAAACAGTCCTGAATAATAATCAGCACACAACAGAAGCCCTTCTGTTACCATTACTGGCCTTTGAAAAGGAACTCAGTTAATCTTCCAGTAGGAGACAATTTATTTTTGTTGTCCCCTGCTATTCCGAAAAAGCAGTTTTAAACTGACTGACATCTATAGAAGACTTTGCTATATTGAAATAAGCTGCCAAAGCCATGATAAACAACAGTGTGTTATACTGTATTCTCACTATCTGCCACATCCTTCAGTTATGCTGCAAAGTAAAAAGTTTACACATAACTTAAACTGACACACAAACAATATGTATTACAGTATTTTCTTCCTATTCTACCTGCCATATGAATAAAACTTACCAGTAGTGATATCTGTCCTTCTTTCACAATATTTAAGATGCTCTTATTTTTTTTCACATCTTCATTTCTTTCTTCTGGACTCCCTGAGTTCTTATTGCAGTTTGTTTCCTCTTGTTTATTTTCTGTCACAGCTGTCTGCAGTGGAAAGGTCCTTAACTGACAGTGGGACAGAGGCTTCTCCATTTTGTCAGCAAACGTCCTGTTGAGAAAGCCCTTGGTCTGAGCTTCAGGTTCATGGACCGAACCACATTTAACTAACGGCTGAGGAAACTCCAGTTCTTCCGCTAAATACTTATGCTGATCAGGGACAATAGGCTGTGCTTTCCTCAGCTGAGAGCTTTTCACAGGGGACAAAACACAAAACTGTGTCGTTCCTGTTGGTGGCTTCTCCGTATTCCCTGCGGGGCATAACTTGCCACTAAGACCATTCAGAGTTGAGTACACACTCAAAATCCGTTTCTCTGGAGCTGCCTTGGTAAAAGCAGCAAGCTGCTGGCTTGATTTGATATAAGGCACATCCAAAATTTCATCCATGTCCAGGTCATAGTGCTCCAGCTCACCAAGCAGAACTCCAGGTTCAACACACTTAGTTTTAAGGCTCTCTCCATTGCCTGGAGGTCGATCACCATTGTGAGCTACTGGTGGAGAGTCAGTGCCTTTCTTGTATTCCATCTTTTGGTTCTTTTGGTCATCACTTTCATTATTTTCAGAGCTTTCTGGTTGGTGCTTAAGGGGTGAAACTCTCTTCACTGGACGGAACTTACTATACACGTCTGCAATGCCCGCTGGTTTTTGCCCATTTCCAAGGAGTGTTGAAACTCCTGAACTCCATTTAGTGCTGGAAACTTGAAAATACATGAAACACAACTTAGAATCAACAGTTATGAATGCATTCTTATTCTGTATGCTTTGAAAAGAAAGTATCGTGGAAACATGATTATCCATAAAGTACTGTATTTTTTTAATGTGAAAAAATATATTTTGCAGTTTCCTTCTACTCTATGCACTTCACAAATATGTGAACTGTAAAACAAGTTTTAAATTAAGCTCTAACATTAATGGCATGGTTCTATGAGAAAGCCAAAACATGATAAATTGCATAACAAAGGAAGCAAAATCTGGAAAGCCATAAAAAGCAAATGAAATATACGTTTTAATTTTCATTCTGTGAGAGTGAGCAGACGTTTACAACCTTATATTCTAGCTTAATCATTCAAGAGCTTAAATATTACTAACTTTTGCATTGTTTTAAAAATACATACGTTGAACAGGCAGCTCAATTTACTTGTTACAGTAGTGGAGAGAATGATATTAAATTCCTTTTCTGTAAAATTTTCTTAGCTGTACCCCATCATCTTGCTTGTCCTAAGGAAGCAGTAGATGGTGTAGCACTAGTAATGGTGTAATGGTAATTTTGGAAATGCAGACACTCATAATGGCAGTTTTCACAAGGCAGTGAACACCTCATAAGGAAAGTCCAAAAATATAGGCAGCTGGGCCCATCTATATCAACAAATGAGAATCAGGTTTTTCATAAAGTTAATGATTCTGAACTACCTTCTGAAGACCAAACCATTATCAAATATTTTGCTTGCAACAATAGCCTATTCTAGGTAAAATGCATTTCCTTCTCATATACTGTGAGGATAGCAGATAAAGTCAGAGAAAACAGGAAAGCCTGAGAGGAGTGACAGATCATGTGATAATCAACTCAAAAAGTCCTAGGATTTTAACCCTGCAAACTCTTGCTCCATTACTTAAATCCAAAAGAAAACAGCAGTAGAAAGTTGCACTATGTAAATCAGAATAATGACATGGGAGGAAATGATTAATACCTTTTTGCTCCCCAAAGTCAGGAGGCATTGACTTGGTATCTTGGTTTATTTGTCCCTGAAGCTAACATGTCCAATAGTATTCTGATGGATTATTGCTATCCTAGGAATTAACAGATCTTGTCAAAAGCTCACTTTATTTAATAGGGAATAATTGACAGGCAGGTTTTTTTAAAAAATCTGAGATTACATTTAACAGGCAGGATTAGTGCATACTTTATTTTATCGTGTATATTAGTGTAGCTGTATCTATCTTGCACTCAAGTATAGAGGTTTCTTTTTAAAAAAAAACTTCATGAAACAGCTGTACTAACACTGTTATCACATTATTAAAAAAACACTACATTTTGAAAAGCATAGAAAAAAGATTTGACTTATTACCTGGATATTTTAGGAAACATTTGGAAAGCTATTACTCTTAGAATTACTGTATGTACTATTCCAACAACAAGATACAACTTAAAAAGTGTGCAACACAAAATAAAGTCACTGCATAGATTTATTTATATATTGTATATGATTCTGGGTTCAAAGGGCGACACTTTTATGTTGGTTTTATTTACATGTGAATTTTTTTCCAAGCTGTAGAGGAAAATGGATACCACATGTTTCCCAGCTGTTTCATTCTGCCTGCAACCTCTAAAGGCTTTCTACCAAAAAATAATTCTGTCCAAGTGTCAGGAAAACACTTTTTTTGACAGAGGGGTCTAGACAGTGACATGGGCAACAACATTTTGTTAGTCATCGCCTTCCTTGCACCTAAAGGATTATTTGCTTTTTCTAAAAAGAAAAAAAGAAAAAAAATGATTTTTTTTTCCATTTTCTAGAATTAAAAAATGCGGCAGACCTAAATAAATGAGATAGCCTGCCTTACCTAAAGAGTCAAAATTAAATATTTCTTGAAGGCAAAGAAGAACACACCCTTTCTTCCTTTTCCCAGTTAGCAATTTGATGATAAATTGCAGTGTTTTGGTACTGATTTATCTATGCCATAGCAATTAAAATATAGTACTGATCAACTCAGACACTAAGGGAGGTTTAGTTTACAATATGGGGAAACTGGATCCCACCTTAGTCTTGCTTGTAGCAGAACTGTTAGAACCAATGAAACTGATTAGTTATGATTAGCTTATCTCATTGATTTAGCAGTTCTAAGAATGATAAGGGTGCAACTACATAGGCATTTATCCCACTGTTTGGTCTGCTCTGGGGACAGGCTGGCTCACTTCTTTTCCTGGTGACCACACAACGTAAGTGCCAGTGTGAACCAACCTGTCCCCAGAGCATTCTTACCTGCACCTTTTTGGGTTCCTGTTTTTTAGGTGTAGGTAGGATCGCTACCCCCTTCACGGATTGCTGCCTTGTCATGGCGAAGGGGCTTGAGTAATTGAGAAGCTATGGACTATGCTGTGCAGGGACACCCAAGACGGAAAGGTCATAGTGGAGAGTTCTGATTAAATGCGATTCACCTGGAGCAGGAACTGGCAAGCCACTCCAGTGTCTTTGCCAAGAAAACCCCATGAACAGAAACAAAAGGCTAAAAGATATGACGCTGGAAGATGAGCCCCTTAGGTCGGACATCCAATATGCGACTGAGGAAGAGCGAAGGACAAGTACAAGTAACTCCACAGCTAAGGAAAGTCCGATGCTGCAAAGAAAAACACTGCATAGGAACATGGAATGTAAGATCTATGAACCTTGGGAAGCTGGATGTGGTCAAACAGGAGATGGCAATAATCAACATTGACATCCTGGGCGTCAGTGAACTAAAATGGACGGGAATGGGTGAATTCAATTCAGACAATTATCAAATTACTAATGTGGGCAAGAATCCCATAGAAGAAATGGAGTAGCCATCATAGTCAACAAAAGAGTGGGAAAAGCTATATTGGGATACAATATGAAAAATGATAGAATGATTTCAATATGAATCCAAGGCAGACCTTTCAACATCACAGTCATCCAAGTTTATGCACCAACCACCGATGCTGAAGAGGCTGAAATTGACCAATTCTAGGAAGACTTACAACCCCTTCTAGAACTGACACCAAAGAAAGATGTTCTTCTCATTATAGGGGACTGGAATGCTAAAGTAGGGAGTCAAGAGATAAAAGGAACAACAGATAAGTTTGGCCTTGGAGTTCCAAATGAAGCAGGGCAAAGGCTAATAGAGTTTTGTCAAGAGAACAAGCTGGCCATCAGAAACACTCTTTTCCGACAACACAAGAGGCAACTCTACACATGAACATCATGAGATGGGCAATACCAAAACTTTTTAAAATCTTAAAAGATGACGCTGTTAAGGTGCCAAACTCCATATGCCAGCAAGTTTGGAAAACTCAGCAGTGGCAAGATGATTGGAAAAGATCAGTCCACATCCCAATCCCAAAGAAGGGCAGTGCCTTTGACTGTGTGGACCACAGCAAACTATGGCAAGTTCTTAAAGAAATGGGAGTGCCTTACCACCTTATCTGTCTCCTGAGAAATCTCTATGTGGAACAGGAAGCAACAGTTAGAACTGGATATGGAACAACTGATTGGTTCAAAATTGGGAAAGGAGTATGGCAAGGCTGTATATAGTCCCCCAGCCTATTTAACTTATATGCAGAATACATCATGTGAAAGGAAGGACTGGATAAATCCCAAACCAGAATTAAGATTGCCAGAAGAAATATCAGCAACCTCAGATATGCAGATGATACCACTCTGATGGCAGAAAGCGAGGAGGAATTAAAGGACCTCTTAATGAGGGTGAAAAAGGAGAGTGCCAAAAATGGTCTGAAGCTCAACATCAAAAAAACTAAGACCATGTCCACTGGTCCCATCACCTCCTGGCAAATAGAAGGGGAAGATCTGGAGGCAGTGACAGATTTTACTTTCTTGGGTTCTATGATCATTGCAGATGGCGACAGCAGCCATGAAATTAAAAGATGCCTGCTTCTTTGGAGGAAAGCAATGACAAACCTAGACAGCATCTTAAAAAGCAGAGACATCACCTTGCCGACAAAGGTCCGCATAGCCAAAGCTATGGAAGTGAGAGCTGGACCATAAAGACGGGTTATGCAAAAATCCCCCATAGGAAACATCGTTAGGTGAGGCGGCAAAATTTCCAGCAAAGGCCTGGACTGCAAGGAGAACAAACCTATCCCTTTTGAAGGAAATCAACCCTGGGTGCTCATTGGAAGGACAGATCCTGAAGCTGAGGCTCCAATACTTTGGCCATCTGATGAGAAGACTCCCTGGAAAAAACCCTGATGTTGGGAAAGTGTGAAGGCAAGAGGAGAAGGGGACGACAGAGGATGAGATGGTTGGACAATGTTATTGAAGAGACTAATGTGAATTTGACCAAACTCTAGGAGGCAGTGGAAGACAGGGGGGCCTGGTATGCTCTGGTTCATGGGGTCACGAAGAGTCGGACATGATGTAACGACTAAACAACAGGATCACTCCATTTTGGTTCATTTCCAGCACATGTGATCAGTAGGACTGAACCAAAACTGGACAGCTTGCCATCAGTTCCCGATCTCCTTTCAATTTCTCAATATCATTGTCACTTAAGAAGGCAGCTTAGCTACTTCTCGATGCTAGGAAATTAAAAACGGTCTCTGCTTCTTGATGGAGGGGAGAGGAATGAAGCACAGTTTGTTTCAAAGCCTATCAAGGAAGCACCAATGCACTGTACGTTTTAGATGTTTTTTAATTGAAACCTAACTGCAGGAAGGAGGAAGAGGCAAGAAGGAACAAAAATGTTGTTGTTTGTTGTTCTCTCCACCACCACCACCCCTTTTAAAGGGAGGCAGGCCAAATAGAGCTGCTCGAGAAGCGTGAGTCATGTGGATACAAGGATCACACCAAATGGCACACAACAACTCTATGTGACCTTAAATAACCCTGTTTAGCCCACTCTAGTTGAACCATGTAGCCAAGCCCTAAGTCTGTATCAATGTTCCCTCTAATTTTCAGTCTCGCTGAGCAGGGCTCTATGACTCATGTGTGCGACTTTGCCTGCTTGT